CGCGGTAGGTGCGTAAGAGCCGCCTTCCCACGGGTGACTCATGCGCTGCCTTCCCGGCCGCTCCCGCGCCCCCGGGGCCGCCGCCGCCGCCGCTCCCCGCCGCTCTCGGCGCTGCGCCGGGACCGGCCCCCCCGCCGCCCGAGCGCAGCGGCCGGAGCTGCCGCCGCCCCGGGAGCCGCGACCCTCCGGGGAGCCCCCGGCCCCGTTGACCCCGCAGGGCAGCAAAGGGCAGGGGGAGCCCCCGGGTGCCCCCCCCGCCTCGCTGCTCGTTTCCCTCCTGGGGGACACGACCTCCCCGCCACATCCTTCTGATCCCGATGGTCCCACTTCCATCTGCTCTTCCCAGCCTCTCCTTCGGGGTCTGGAGTGATGGGGGTCCCCGTGGATGGGGAGCGGAGCTGCTGTCGGGGCGGGCAATCCCTGGGAATGTGAGGAGCTTTGAGGGGGGATGTGTGTGGGGGGGGGCATTGATGTGCCCCCYGGCCCCCGGGGACCCCGGGGTGCAGCCAGTCAGGTGTGTGCTGCCCTGACCGCACAGTGAGGGGCAGGTCCCTGCCTCCTCCAAGGGGGTGTCCAGATTTCCTCATGGAGAAGGAGCTTTTCTACCACCCGAGATCCAGGGGCTTTGGGGAAGCTTCTGATTTGTCTTCATGGAAACTTTCTCCCCAGTATCAGCGTGGGGGAGCTGTGCAGTGTGGCAGGCGGCGGCTCGAGGCTGGCACAGGGAATCCCTGCTGGGAAGGGGGCTCATAGAGGAGCCCCCCACCCTGCCCAGCAGCCRGAGCCCCCTCAGAGCAGGAGTGGCACAAGGGGGCACAAGGAAGAGCTTCCCTCGGAGCACGGATGGGGCCGTCGCGGCGCCCACCTGCCCCCCACATCTGCTTCTCCCCCCCTGCATCCCCCGGCAGGGACCGYGGCAGCGCCTCCCCATTTTTCACCTGGATCAAAGAGCGTCTCGGCCAGGCCATTTGTTTGAGGAGACAGGCCAGGAAAGGCAGCACATTCCCAGCCCGYGCCGGGCGCTTTCCCACCTGGGAGATGGGGATGAAGGCCCTGGGATGGCGCAGGTCCCGTCCCATGGGACATCTCGCAGCATGCTTCATCCCTGGGCTCGCCGGGGCGCGGGGGCTGGTGCCGGGGCRGGATGATGCCGGGAACGCCGGCGCTGCGCTCGCCGCTCGCTCTGAGTCAGTGCGGCCGGCGGGACGCAGATGCGGTTCCCGCTGCCCTTTGAGAGTGACCTTTAAAGCGCCGAGCGCGCGGCGGCTCCGGCCTGGTGCTCCAACCGGCTCCCTTCTTGGGGCCGGGATTCACCCTCGCCTGCAAAACACCCGGAGACACCGGCACGGAGCCGGGATCCCGGCACAGCCCCCCACGCGGGTCCCGCTGCCCTGGATGTGCCAGCCCGYGTGGGGCCCAGTGTCCCAGATGAATCCAGGGACGGCGATTCCCAGGCAGAGCTCACTCCGCGGAGCCCTTGGACAGCGCGAGCATCTGGCTCCAGGGCCGGGGTGTAAAAAACAACAACCCAGAAGGCCAACGCAGAAAAAAGCCCCGGGAAAGCCGCAGCGGAGCTCTGCGTCTTACTGTCTGCATCCTTTTAAAGTGACCTGTGGGAAAAATAAAGCGGCTAGAAATGCAAAGAATCCGGCAGGCAGAGTTGGCTTTGCATCCTTCCCAGCAAACGTTTCCCCCTCCGTGGGTAATTTATAACCCGCTTAACCCCTGCAGTGCGGCCCTGCRCACGAGAGCATCCCCGTGGTGCCCGCGGTGCCCGGGCAAGAGCGAACGGTGCCCGGAGGCGCCCGCGGATCCGCAGGGAGCGGAATGTGCAGCAAGGGCCGAGGCGGGTGCCAGAGCGCCGGGGCCGGGCAGGGAGCTGYGCGGGCGCCCCGAGGAAATGTAGGTCGCTGGCGCTGAACGGGAGGGGAAAATAAAGAGCATGGAGTGTTTCTGGAGAGGGGTGGGAGGAGGAGGGAGGGCCAGGAACTCCCCGGCAGCAAATATTTGCCAACTGGAATATTGCGGCCTGGGAAGGCTTTGGCTATTAAAAGGCGCGGGAATGCRGGAGCGTGGAGCCGGCTCGCGCCAGGCATCTTGCAGGCAGGTGCGGAGCRCGGGAGTCCGCGGGGCCCCCCGGCGCTCTGGGACCCCCGTGCTCCCCCCAGCCGCTCTGCTGGGATTTACGGCACCAGCTCCCGGTGTCTCCCATTGCCGCAGCCATCACCCACTGGGGTGGCTGGGACTGGATGTCAAGATGTGGGAATGGGCGGGAGGGGCAGATCCAGGYGGGCACTGGCGCACTCAGCCCCACTCGGATGAGCAGAGGGAAGGAGGCTGCGGTGCCGGCTCCGGCCATGTGGTCCCCATTAGGGGCGAAGGCGAGCGAAGGCCCCGGCCTCCTCCTCCTCCTCCCCACTGCGACCGCATCGGTGCTGCCGTAAATAATGTTAATGGGCCTGGCGGTGACAGCCGTCGAGGTGACAGAGCCGGTGCCCTCTGAACCCATAAAATCAGGGCTGTAAATCTGGATCGCGCTGCTCGCCCGGCAGCACCGGCTCCTGYGGCCTCCGTCCCGGCTGCTACCCGTCCCGGCAGCATTTGGCTCTTGCCTGCTCCCGGCCCGTCGGCCTCGCACCTCCCGGTGCTGCCGGTGATCATGCAGGGATGCGCAGCCCGACGGACCGGCCCCGCTCCGACACGGAGCTGCTGCATCCCGGGCTGCTGCTGGGCAGGCGCAGAGCCCGGCCCAGCCCCAGCGGGTCGGAGACACCGGGTCCTCGTGCACCCACCAGGCCAGGGGGGAACCCTGGGGGACCCCATGTTCCTCCCGGGCCGGCAGCAGCCCCTGCCCCCTGGGCCTCCCATTCCTATTCCCCCCAAACCCCTGTCCTTATGCAACACCATCCCTGTGTCCTCGCTGCATCCCTCTCTCCCTTTATCCTTGTCTCACTGCATCCCTCTCCCCTGTATCCCTGTCTCCTACAGCCCTATCCCCTTCATCCCTGTCCCCCTGCATCCCTGTCTCCTACCTCTCTGTCCCCCTGCATTCCTATCTCACTGCATCCCTGTCCCCCTGCATCCCTGGCTCCTGCATCCCTATCCTCCTTCATCCCCATTCCCCTTCTTCCCATATCCACCTGCATCCCTTGCTCCTCTGCATCCCAAGCCCGGCGCCACCCCCTCTCCTCCTGCATCCTCCATCCCCCGCCTCCCGCAGT